ATGTATTTAAGCCTCCCTCTCAGAAATAACACTTCAGAGGGCGGTACAGATGCTAGTTAAATATGTGTTCCTGAAACAAATGCCACTGATGAATTGTGTAACTACATACAGTAGAAGAACAGGAATTATTATGTTTACCAGCCTGCGTATGAATATTATGTCAACTTCAAACTTTCTCACCAATTCTTCTTCTACACATATCCATCAGGGTGTACTAACATACACAAAACCGCAGGCTAAGTGGCTTTTCCTAGAGCGTTTCCAAGTCCAATTATCTCATTTCTCTCCTGTCCATAATCAACACACAAATCAAGCAAGAAAGAAAACCCCTTGTCATAGCACCACACACAATTTTACTATTCTCTGCCAGTGAAGCGTTTCACTCATACTTCCAACTTTTCCTCATCACTTGTTCTAGCATTTCCTAGCAATTTCAGTTCATGTCAAATCAAATTTGTCTGGACACAGGGAACAGCTAGGACTTCAGAAACCCATCTCATTTAATGATCCAGCCGAGCAGGTTCCACACAAGCCAACCATCCACAAAACTGGGTGTTTTCAGCTCCAGTGAAATCCACCTCAGGACAGCAGGGATGTCACTTAGCATGGCAAATGGAAGCAAGGGTTGTTATTACCATGGAGATGTTGAATCAGATATGGACTAAAGGTGCCTCACCCACCCTCAGTGCCAGAGAGGCCTTCATTTGAAACAAAACAGGACAGGGAAGAAGGCAGAGATTGCAGACAGTGCGCATGGAGGTGCAGAGGCAGAGCTCAGACCAGTGCTGCTGCCTGGCAGGAGTCCCTCGAGCTGTCGGTCACACAGGGAAAGCCCTGCTCTAGCAACACAGCTTGTCTGGCTTGGGAAGGGTTTAAGAGTCTCCAGACTGAGAAGCGTTGGGCCAGCCCAGCTGTATCATGCTATGGGCCTTTCCTCGGAGGGGCACAGCAGCATCCCTGCTCCTGTAACACTCCCGAGAGAAGGTCAGAGATTGCTGCAGCACGGGAGCAAGTACTAAATTGCACTAGAGCACCAAAAAGGCAGGCAGCTGTGCCTAATCCTGCACGCTTACCTGTACACAATCAGACAGGCTCCTATAGGTGATATATATATAGCTTCACCCCAAAGATGCCCGACAGCCACTAGACACCGACCAAGATGGACCAAAGACAACAGCAATGCAGCAAGCAGTGCTGCAACAGCAGCACGGCAGCAGGTGAGGGAAGTGCGGGTGCCTCCACATCGAGCACGGCCTCTCCCGCTCAGCAGCGACGCCGGAGCAGCTCAGGGCTGAGCAACTACACAACCTCTGCTTTCTACCGGGGCATCTGCACTTTGCTCAGCTCAAGGGCACAGTGGCAATTGTCCAGAGTCCACAGCTCCTTTTAACTGAGATGACCCTGAGAAGATAGCTCTCTTTGCTGTCAATACCGTGACTGTAGAGCTCTGATCAGGTCAGCAGGACCAGGCTGGACATCGGCTGCAGGCACTGTGGGCTGCCCCCACCCCGGTTAGGTGCGGCAGCTCCTTTAGAACAAGTGCTGGTTTGTGATGGACCTAAGAATTCTGGAAACCATACATTCAAATACTGTAAAGCCTTGGCCACACATCCAGATACCTGCTGGCTGCTCAGGACCGCAAAACATCGCAGTGCTGGAGGCAGATGCAGCTTTGTACATCACACACCAGCAAAACTTAACTAATTTGGTTTAGAAATAGAGATAAGCTGCAAGCACCTGCAAAATATCAGAATATGTTATGGGAAAAGCTCCTGCACCTTGCCAGTTACGGTGGCACTTTGGCAAGGCAGGGACACATCCGCATGCAGGATGGCATCAGGAACGGCAATGCCCCACAGGAGCTTCGCAGCCTGAGCAGGTGTGAGGTGAGGGAAACTAGAAGCATCTCATGCTCTGCAGGCACAGGGATGCCAACTAAGGCATGAGACCTCAGCGGTGCTCACAGAATAACCAAGGAGTGTCCTCACAGCAAGATACATTTATTATTCAGCAATCAACCTCAGGATATCAGTGTCTGCACAAAACAGCAAAAACAAGTGCTAATCTAGGCTTTACTACAGCATGGGTGCTGAAGAGAAGCAAGTCCTTGACTTCTCCCTGTCCTTCGTGGGAGAAACTACATCAAGGCCCTGACGCACACTAATTCTGGTTTTGTGGGGTTTTTTGGGGGCGGGGGAGAGGGTTTGGACAGGGATTGTTTTCACCTCTGCCATTTCATGGTTCAACTCACAGTCCACTTAAGATCATGTAGGTCCGTGGAATCACATTGCCAAAGCCACCACTGAATAGTTTCACTCAGTTCTCATGTCTACACTTCGAAGAGAAAAGTTAAATTTGAGAGGATTCAGAAAGCACTGTGAGAATAAGAAGGCTGGGAAACTTGACTGAACTAAAACGTAAAGCCTAAGGAAGCCCAATCTCTTCATTTTGTCAATGAAATGCTCGTTAAATTAATTTAAGCACGGCCTTAGTACATCCACAGGAATAAAAGACTGTGACAAGAAATGGCTCGTTAGGAAAAACCTAAATGAACTGCAAAGGTAATGCCACCATTCCACCCCCTGAAGCTCTCACAATGAAATCAATTTTGGTTTTCTTGGGAAAAAAAAAAAGTCACAGTTGAGCCGGAATGCATTAACTTAACACTAATGACTAAGCAATGATCTCCAGGCTGCATCCCACCACAGAATTCAGACAAGATCATATTGGTATCTTTTAATTTGAAGCTTATAAGCCTAACAAAAACATCCCCATGAAGCACTGTAAGGCATTCGCACCACAACAAACTACCCTCACGGGCACCTCATCGGTGCTGAGCTCTTCCTCAGAGCCACTCCTTGGTACAGGCAGGGACTTCTGTAGGGCCAATCTCCCCTGGGGCCTGCCAGCCCTGATACAGCATCAGCAATATATAGTTTTGTGCTTAGCTTTTATAGCTGTTTTATAAATTTCTGAAGTCGGGACCCAAACCAGACATTCCCACCCTCCTCGGTGGTAGATGTGCGAAGAAGCACAGGGTCAAAATGACAACTGGAGACCGATGATGCTGTGACAGGGGAAGTCCAGCCAGCCAGCCACCGCAGCTCAGGAACTTCCCATACCTGCTTCGCTAGTTTTAATGCTCCCCGTTGGTCCCACCGCCCCCGATGCTACCAGGCGGTGGAACATCCTGTAGCAGAGTGCCACAGTTTAATAGCATGTTGTGTGAAAAAAGCACTTCCGCCTGTTTATTTTAGACCTGCTGCATTGTAATTTCCTGTAAGAAACAGTAAACTGATGTTCCCTCCTCGCTTTCTCTGACCTGCCTATGACTTCATGCACCTGCATTGTATCTCCTGTCAGCAAGCTTCTCCCCTAAGGTGAGGAAAGGAAGGCTTCGCTTGCCCGGAAACCTGCTTGTCCGCACTGCTCCTGCCCCTACTTTTCCAGTGCTCCCCTTTTGAGATGGGCTAACCAGAACTGCCGGCAACAGCAAGGGCACAAACTGCCAACCATGTATGCAGCAGCATAATGATGTTTTCTGTTTTGTTCTCTGCTCCTTTAAAGTAATTCCAAAATATCGTTTTTAGGCTACGGCGGGGTGTTGAAGCGATGTTTTAAAAAAAACAATTGCTGAGACACCAACAGCTTTTTCCTGAATAGTAAAAGCTGATGTAGAGTCAATCACTGCGGTGTTTGTCACCTTCATTACACCCGTTGCCATCATATCTTGTTTACCACACTAGCACTCAGCCACTCAGTATTATCTGGTCTCTGCAACTTCCCATAGTCCGGTTTAGCTATCCTAAATAACTTAGGATTAAATTTTTCTTCTCCACATCACCATATTAAAAAAAAAAAAGCAGCAGAGATGGCTGTGAAACTCCACAATAACCTTACTCCACCGTGAGCACCAATCATTCGTCCCTACCTTTTTTTGCCACCCTTTAATCAATTATTAATCCCCGAAAGGGCCTTCCCAGGCTGCTGCCCCTCGGCTTTTCACAGAAGACCTTGTCAGAAGTTTGCAAAACCAAATGCAGCACTCCGGGAATTACACCCACTGAGTGGGAGCCGATCCGGACTGCCAGCGTACCTGAGAAACAAAGGTCAGATCCTTCCCCCCCCCCCGTCAAGAAAAAAACACGACTCACTC